TATAAAACAGAGACTGGAGAGAGATAATCTGTTTCTCCCACCAGGACGTGGGCCTTTACCAGACACCAGATCTGCTGGCACCATGATCTTGGACTTCCCAGACTCCAGAATTGTGAGAAATAAACATTTGTCGTTTAAGCTACCCAGCTTATGGTGTTTTATTATGGCATCCCAAACTGACTAAGACAATTTCTGACCAGAATCAAATCACCAGAGATATTCAAACAGAAGCCAAAGTCTTTTCCTCTGAATGGGACATTTGTGTGGAAAGCAGGGCTGGGGGACAGAGGGTCTTAAGAATAAGGCAGGTCCCTTTAAGAAAGAACTGAGCCATTCACCGTGCAGTCATGTAGCCTCTGAAGTGGAAAGAGCCATCTCTCTCCCTCACCCACCCCCCACGCTAGGGTCAGGAGATTTATTGATCTATCCCATCATGGGCTTGGCCACAAATTGACAGCATGATCTTAGACAGGTCACAAACTCTGGTCTCAGAGTCTTCACCCATAGACAACCTCTGAGGACCTATTTTCTCTAAATGATATCTTCCTTTGAATTTTCTCTCTCCTTTCCACTCCTCTAGCTCACCTTTCAATGCTGCAGGTTGAGAAGGATTCCTTAGGCACTGCAATAGAGACGAAAAAAGTGTAGTTGCCTTTAGGAGATTATAATATAGTAAGAAGGAAGCATGTATGTGCAGAGATAATTAGAGGACTGAATAGCATATGATCCGCTCTCTGGGCTCCATACTGTAGAAATTTCTAAACAGGAAGGTGTGGTATGAAGCAGTAGAAAAGAAAAGCTTTGAACTGGGCCTTAAAGAAGGCCCAGAAGTTAGGCTGCAAGGAGGAGGAGGGAAGAGATTGTGGTTAATACAACTTAGACATGGAAATTAAAATAAACAAGTTTTAGGGAACAGGGAGCAGTCAGCATGATTGGTACAGGGGTTATGTTAGACAATATGAGAGTATAACTCTATATTGAAATACACTCAAAGTGATTTTATTTTATTCAGGTGCAGTGCTAGTCAATTTAGAATTGATCTGAGAGGCCAAGGGAACCTGAGTCAGTTTCTGAGCAGATGAGAGAGTTGTTCCAACCTCAGTTGCTAAGCCCCTTGATTACTTGGCTGGGCTTCTTTCTGCATTTTAGAGCCTGTATGTATTTTGGCTTCAGACACCAGTTATCAAGTGGGGGATTATATTGGGCTCCACCCCCAGCTTCTTAGTAAAGATCTTTAACCCTCCCTTTAGGACACTTGAAAACAGGCAGAACAGCTCAAGATCATGAGAGGAAGCAGGTAAGAGGCACTTTCTTGCCTCCATTCTAACCCTTTGCATTAATCATATCAATTCCTCCCAAAACTCACACAAGCACTGAACACAGCTGTGTTGTCCCTGCTTTAAAGAGTTAAAGGCTCAGAAATACTGACAGCCCAGCTCAGAGCTGTTGAATTACCTTTAAAAGAGAGTGACCTAGAATTCATTAGGCTATCGTCTTAACATCTGTAAAAAGTGAGCAGTCTCATCAAATAGGAAATATATGGGAAAAAATGGACAATATTATATCAAGTTCAGAAATTTTTACTCTTAGAAGGAAATATAGTTAATATCTTAAGAGCTAAAGAATAATGAAATCCCATCAAATGACATGACAGCCTGGGTGGGGATTGCAGGTTTTCATGAGTAGGCAGAAAAGACAGGCAATTTTAAGTATGACTCCAGCTGGGGAAGGCACCTTCCCTGTGCTGTGCAAGACTGGGAGACAGCCTGTGTGGAGGGTTTGATGTAGTGACTATAAGTAACTGCATTCAGCACATGCCATTAGGGTCACTGTCAAGAATCCTGTCCCATTCAATATCTGGGTCCAATATCTCAACAAGCAGACTAGGTGTTCCCTGACATTGTCTGTCATAGCAAGTCATTTCCTTAACAGTAAGCCTATTTTAACATGGAAAGACTCGAGCTAAGTACAGAAATGTTTAAGAGCATCAAAATCATAATGTTGATATTTGTGCCTTAAGGAATTATGCATGTGTAGCATTTTAGGTATTTATAATTTTACAAATATTATAATTTCATCTATGCAGATTAGTCTTGTAAGTTCAATTTATAAGTGTGCAATTGACTAACAAATTTACACTTGTGAGTTTCAGTTGAAATCTCACTAAGTTTATACAGTATTGGAATATTTAAGAAAACTTAAGTTTCACCACATTTATAAGCTTAAGAAATTAGATTTGTAATAATAACAACTTGAGAAGATTTGTTGGTTAATTGAAGTACTTAAGAATCTAAAAAATATTTAATTCATAAACATAGTGAAGAAGTTTAAAGGGAAATCTAATTATCTAAGTTTAAAACTGTGCCCCAAACATTAAAGTCTCCTTAAAATTGAGTGTTAAAAATTTGCTAGAGGGCTTCCCTGGTGGCGCAGTGGTTGTGAGCCCGCCTGCTGATGCAGGGGACACGGGTTCGTGCCCCGGTCCAGGAAGATCCCACATGTCGCCGCCCGTGAGCCATGGCCGCTGAGCCTGGGCGTCCGGAGCCTGTGCTCCGCAATGAGAGAGGCCACAACAGCGAGAGGCCCGCGTACCGCAAAAAAAAAAAAAAAAAATTGCTAGACTTAAAAATAGAATAATAATATTCATCACATGAACTTAAAGGTATAAGAATGGCTTATATTTTTTCATTTTTACCAGTTTGGTCCAGAAACCCAATCACTCTATTCACTGCACATCTCTTGAAGCACCTCTCCAAGCTTAAAGCAAAAATCTCCCTTCACTGCCATTTATTTAGGGGAAATTCTTTTCTATTATTTCATGCATGTCCTCTATTCTCTCAATCTTCCCATCTGGAATTCACATTAGAAAGAATATAGAATTTCTGGATCTATTCTCCATGTATACAGACTTTCCTTTCATGCTTTTTAATGTATTGGGGAGAACTTGTCTCTTCTCAGCTTTTATTTTCACTGTTCCTGTAGCCCCGGTGACTCCTAAACCACATTGTTAATCCACATCCAACATACAATCAATACAATCTTGATTAATGAGCCCTAAAGTGACAAGATGGTGAGGAGGACATCAAGACGGTCATAACCTGATCTCCCACTTCAACAATGAGCTGGTAGTGCCATCAGAGGCTGCAGTTTCCCAAGCAAAGGCAGTTAGAGATCACAGAAATCACTGAAGAGGTATTATCACATCAACAGCCATGTTTATATTGCATTGAGTCTCTTTGGGCTTCCCTGGTGGCGCAGTGGTTGAGAGTCCCCCTGCCGATGCAGGGGATACGGTTCGTGCCCCAGTCAGTGAAGATCCCACATGCCGCGGAGCGGCTGGGCCCGTAAGCCATGGCCGCTGAGCCTGCGCGTCCGGAGCCTGTGCTCCTCAGCGGGAGAGGCCACAGCAGTGAGAGGCCCGTGTACCGAAAAAAAAAAAAAAAAGTCTCTTTACCTTAGTTATGGCAAATCAAGCATGGGATACCCATGAAGGGGTCTGGCAAAAGCTCAGGAATTGAGACCCCAGGTTTTTGGAAGAGTTGAGATAAAATACAAGCAAAAGTAAGGGAGGGCACCCTTCCTCCATCCCTTCCTTTGTGAAGGCTTCCATAAAATTATAATAATGGTGCTCAATTTATTGCTCATTTCAGGGACTAGAGGCAGATAGCCCCAAACTATGGATTTAGACCTGAACCAGAAGTTCCTCCTCTGAGAACTCACTGGGTTGCATCTCACTTGTGTTCTCTCTGTGCAGAGACTGAAGGAATGGACATTTCTGCTCTCTCATAAAGACTGCTAGTATATTTACACTTACAGTTTTCAAAATTCCAGTCTTAATCTGGTTCATGCTAATTATTCCTAGAGTTCCTGCTCAGGCCTAGATACCAGCAATGCCGTTTTCACGTAACCTGCAGCTGACAGCTCACTCTTCTGAAATACAAACTTGCCAAAATCATAGAAACTTTCTCGGCTAAGGAAAAGAACCCTAAAATACAGGACACACATGGCACAGAATGCCATGATCACCTGGGGACCACGGCACGTGGGCATTTCGTATGCCAGAAATGTATTAAGGTCTATTGCATTGTTCAAGATCAACATGTAGGCACCCACATCTGCTCTTTTCAACCCTTACGTTAAGAAAAAGAAATGTATCCAATTCATTGGCCTAAAGAATCCACTCACCTCCCTCTTCAGTGTCATGTGATAAGAGACCAGACTAGGGCAGCTTCCTGGATTTGTCAGTGCTTCTGGAAAGCCAGGGAGGTCCAGGTTTTAATTGCCCATGTGACACCTCCAGCTATACCCACTACACTGCCTCTTTTCCTTCATATTCAAGTCAACCATCACAGACTCCTGCAGTACTCCTTTTCTTTTCTGTCACAGCAGAGACTGACCTTTCTGACTAATATGGTACTAAACTAACTTCGATGTTGTCTCAGAGACCCTAGATTCATAAAATGTGACAGCCGGAAATTGATTCATCCAATTCATTTCCCTAACGTCAGAGAGAAGGACATGGTAAATGTTAAAACCCTAGAGGCTGGTGAATAGTAAAGCCAGAATGAGAAAAGATTTCCTGACTCTCCATTGGAGGTCACTTAGTCCACCGATGAGAGAAGGGCTCTGACTTTTTACCTAGGTATTCCATTAAAGGATTTTCCTTGTTTTAACCCTTCAATTATTTTAGCAGAGCAGATGGCATGGTGGCCATACTATGCTGTGATGATTTTTTTACTCTTTGGATAACATCATGACTCTCCTTTCCCAAATTTTCATGGCTTTACCAACCATGTGCCCTTCTGTAACCGTGGATCAGCCCTCTTATCTTCTCTGAGAGAGTACATCATAGGATGACTTCCGGCTTTCTTTTCCCAGGGGAGAACGCAGGTGCTACAGAAAGAGATTTCTCACAAAAAGGAATTTCAGTGTCACACAGCTTCTTCTTCATGACATAAAGGTGGGGTGCAGTTGAATAACAAAAACAAAGATCTGAGGTGTTTGAACGAAGGTCCATGCATTCATTTATTTCTCATTGCAGCAACAAGATAAACAAGTGAAATTCCATCTATAATGAGTTACAAATGGTAGTAAGCCCAGGAACCCTGAGCATATGTATCTATAAGGCAAATAAAACAATATTTTTCAGTGTGGGCATCATCACACTTTAGATGACCTGGGGAGAGCCACTCCAAGCCCCAAATACCATGACACCAAGAATCATTCTCAACCAGTTGTTCTCCAAACAAAAGGTGAAAAGGCAAAACTGTGATTAAAAATAATAAAATTTTAAAAAGAGAGAAATTTCAACTAGAAAGACTGGACGCCCAAAGTCACATCTCTTCTTCTGATTCTTGTTCTCGTTCAGCATTTTTCAGGAGTCCAACTTCTGAGGGGCAGAACCTCTTAAATCGAGATTTAACCAACCTGAGGAGAATGAAAGTCATCTCGTATTATGCTGTTTAAAATTAAAATCCAAAACTATATGTATCTATAATACAGCAAACTCCAAATTATCTGTGCAGATGGAAGAGGCACCCCCAGAAAGAAAATCACTTTTATTTGGCTTTGGAGCTACCTGCAAATATTTTGTAGATTAAAGCAGCATATAAGCAAACAGATACAATAAAGCTCTTAAATGTGTAATATGATTGCATCATATTCAAAATTTATAACTTTAATCATTTCTAAAACAAACGAGAATCTCTGGGCTGTAGTAAGCCCAGATGAAACCGAGCTCAGCTGTGTGGTCCAAAAAGGAGCCCTCTCCTATGGAGGAAGTGCATGAAGGCATCTCCTGCCCCATGTTGAGCCCCACGTCAAGTCTGGGCTGTACTTCAGCCTCTATTCATGTCTTCAGAGGGGTGCTTTTGTGCTGGCCACAGGCTGCTCAACTGCATGTGATGGTCCATGATGAATTAAGAAGTTGAAAGAAGTGACTCCATTCTTGTAACTGTTTTCATAGATTAAGAGAATCTGTAGGTCAGAAGGAATTACAATTTTTGACATTGGAAGATGTGAAGCTTCTTAGTGGCAGGAACAGCAGGCTCTCCACTTTCTCTGATGAAATAAGAACTAGGCAAAGCTTTTCCTGTGCATGATATTTGTGAAGACATTGTGCTGTGACCATGTCAATAAAAGTTAACTTCCAGAAATACACAGGGATATGCAAACAAACTGATAAACCAAATCATCAAAATCATTCCTGTTTTATGAAAAACGTCACCAGCCTATCTGTATCTTTACACTTGTTTTCTGCCTTTCTTCTTCCAATGAAGATATGGACCGCCTCTCTCAATATACAGTGCTTTTACTTGTGCTCTGGATCCCACTAGAGTATGAACTTCCTAGGAGCAGAGACTTCACCTTATTTACTGCCCTAACTCTGCCAGAGTCTAGAACAATGCCTGGTACACAATAGTGGCTCATGACATATCTGATGATTCAGTGGGCTGTGGAGCAATCTGCCAGGAGTTCATATCACTCACCTCCTCAGAGGTAATTCTTCAGTCACTTCCAACTCAGCATTAATTCCTCCAACATACAACAATGGAGCAGTATCAGTAACAACTATTGACTTGGCAAGAGTCAAGAAAAAGTACTCAAAAACACTTGCCTCGATAATTAGTTGACCATTGACATTGTTCCCAATGTCCTCAACTCTTCAAGGCACTGTTCTTACGAAAGGCTAATAGTTTTAAGTAAGTTGATGACTGGGACAGTGTGTCATTTTTTAAAAATATTTATTTATTTGTTTGTTTGTTTATTCATTTATTTATTTGGCTGTGCTGGGTCTTAGTTGCGGCACATGGGGTCTTCATTGCAGCATGCAGGATCTTTAGTTGCAGCATGTGGGATCTTTAGTTGCAGCATGTGGGATCTTTAGTTGCAGCATGCAGGATCTAGTTCCCTGACCTGAGATCCAGCCTGGGCCCCCTGAATTGGGAGCATGGAGTCTTAGCCACTGGACCACCAGGGAAGTCCCAGTGTGTCATTTTTTAAAGCACACAGTTATCTCCACATTGCACAACCTGAATACGTGCTAACTGAAAGGGATTAATTAGTTAATTCATTCATTAGGTTCATTCCTGATGACTCTTGTGGAAAATAAAGCAAAGAACTGGCTACTGATTACAAATTAACTGTTAACACAGACCCTAGTGACTCCTGCACTTCCCCACTCCTCCTCTCTGGGTTTTATCTGCTGTTGTTACAAACCACCAAGCTAAGGCAAATTCAGGCTCTATCTGCACCCTGAAGCCCTTGGTATTGGCACATGCAGAAATGGCTACTGGGAACAGACTGAGGGATGGGGTAATAAAGAGGAAGTGCAAATAACTGCTAGTTCCTGGAATGATGCAAGTCCAGAGAACTAAAGTCAGGGTGTGTCTGGGCTTTTGCTCCCATATGTTCTTTTCAGTTAATACAAGAGCAGAGCTGAGACTTTGGGTATACTTCCAGAGTCAATCTGGAAATCAAACATCCAGAAAGCAAACTACCATATGCCTGGAATTTGGTCATTTCTATTTTGTTCTTCAAAATGGCTCACAAGAATCATTTGCTTGGAAAACCAACCTGAAAATGGGTAGTATTTCTCTGTCCATTCAGAGGGGCTTTTGAAATAGTTCTGTACCACAGTGGTGTTTAAATATGAAATACAGTAAAACACATAATAAGATTTCCCAACAGATAGGTCTCTCCTATGAGGTGTCATGATGAGAACTTCAGGCATGGGACCAGATGAAGCAATCTTTAAACCGTTATTCTGGAAAGCTGGGAGGTACAGCTTCAGTTTTCAGAGATTTTGGGGGCAGTAGTTCCATAACCCAGTTTTGGTTCCTTGGTGATCTTTGTGCTTTGTCAAATAAATGCGGAGAGAATGTCCTTAAAACCCATCACCTGTGACTGAATTACAATCCACTACAATCCACTTGAATTATCTTGCATATGACCTCACTGAAAGTCAGTATTCAATCTTCGTGATATTCTTTAAGCTACTGCTTAAGTTTATATCAAAATATATCAGAACACAAGTTCTTGTTTTTATATTTCAAAAGCAATATGAGAGCAAAACTTAAAAGCATATAAAACATGATTTCCAAACAACTGAACCCTATTTCCGAGTATTTCTGAAACAGATCCGTTAAAACAGCAAATAAGTGTCTTGAGTACCTACTATATGTTTGACAGTATGCCAAGAGCTGTGAGAAATATGAAAAAGGTCTTTTCTTCCAGGTGACACAATCAAGTTAGCAGGTAAGACTAACATGAGCTAATAGTAACTATCACAAGATAGATCACAATTGTTAAAATGTGTGGTAGAGACTAAAGTACTGTAAACACTCATGAAGGGAGATAAGCAAAGGCTAGAACAATCACAGAAGTTTTCATAGAAGAGATGAGCATTGAATTTGGATATGCCAGGTAGAGGCAACTACATGGTCAAAAAGTGAAAGGTGCTGGGGAAGGAGAGGCAGTTGAAAAAGTAAACATGGAGTTTCCGGTTTCTAGAAAACTATAGGTGGATAAGAGATTCATTAGGGAGCTGAAGGTTTTTGAAACAGGAAGAGACAATAGCCTTCTTTTGGCTCTGGAAGGGAACTGACATGGGGTAGAGAGTCTCCTTGAATGCCGGCATTATTCTTGGAAGCTGCCCAGCCCCTAAGGAGATGAGGCCCAGAAGTCAGCCTAAAACAGCGGAGGAAGAAGCCAAGTTTCATTCTCTCAATGGCTGAGCAAGCCTAAACTACCAGCCCATGCACATGCTTTGAGGGAAATGAATAGGACTAATAGAAATCAATCAATGGGAAAGTAGAATTTCCCAGCACCCATAGCACTTAGACCCCTAGAAGGAGTAACTACAGATCAAAGTGGGCTGACCCAAAGCCTACCAGAGACATTTTGGAGCTAGACAAGGAAATGGTTTCCTTATGCAGAGACACAGCACCACAGCTCCTATAGCAGTGAAGCTCAAAGAAGCACAGAGCAGGAGAGGTAACCTGGGCAAATGTCTACAGAGAGGACTAGAAACCTAGCTGGGGCAGAAGCTGAGACCCCACTGGGCCTAGAACCAGCTACTGTAATTTAGGGATCTAGAGCACCTGCTAGATGTGTACAATCCAATATGGTAGTCACTATGCATATATGGATATTTAAATTAATTAAAATTACTGTGGCACTAGGCCCATGTCAAGTGCTCAATAACCACATATAGCTCATGGCTATATAATGAAGGCTGCAGATATACAACATTTCGATCAGTGCTGAAGTCTGAAGGATTGGAGTCTGCATGATTAGTAGTTGGGATCAGCCAGGCCAACTGTGGTTTGGCATTAGCTATCATGCTAATGGAAATAATAAGGAACCACGTTCACTCCTTTCTACTCCTACTCATCCTTCAAGCTGCAGCTTAATTCTCAATTGTGAGGAGGCCTCCTCTGGGCTCCAATAATGCTTTGTTCTTACACTGTTTCCATTTATTGTACTGTATTTAAATTGTCTCTCCCCATAGGGTCTACACCTTATACATTTTTTGATACAGAAGAAGGAGAACAAGAATGAGAAGAATAATAAAAAGAACAAGGGTGGGTGGGGGAGGTGGTTCAAGAGAGCAGCCTAGGAAGGTCCTGAATTCGCCTCCTCCCATGGACACAGCAAATTTATAGCTATTTAAGGAACAATTCCCTATAAAAAAAAAATACCTGAAAATTAGCCAAACAGCTCCTCCACAGCAAAGGACAAGAGGTCCACACTGAGATGGGTAAAAGAGGCAGAGACACAGTCTCACCGAAAACCCCACCCCTGGTGTGGAGACCCACAATTGGAAGGGATCTCAAAGATACAGAGCTTTTCCCTGAGGAGCAAGAATTTGTGCCCTACATCAGTCACCCCAACCCTTGGGACTTGCACTGGTGAGATGAGCCCCCAAAACATCTGGCTATGAAAACCAACAGGGCTGACATCCAGAAAAAACAAAGGGCTGTAAGGAATGGAGATTCCACTCTTAAAGGGCCTGCATGCAGACTCACCCACCTGGCAATCCAGCACAAAAGCCACAGTTTGAAAAGTGCCTAGACCATATGTGAATGTGATACATTTGTTAATTTTAAAGCATCTGCCAGCAAGGGAGAAATCTGTTAGGACTCTCTCCAGGAATGGAAGCACTGGCAGGTACCATTTTTGCTTTCTGCCCCATCTATTTTGTTAGCACCAGCACTAACAGCCTCCATTTTTGCAGTCGCTTTCTAACCTGCTAGCACCAGTGTTAGAAATTAAAGGAGAAATTTAAAAATACCGGGAGAGGGCTTCCCTGGTGGCGCAGTGGTTGAGAGTCCGCCTGCCAATGCAGGGGACATGGGTTCGAGCCCTGGTCTGGAAGTGTCCCACATGCCACAGAGCAGCTGGGCCCGTGAGCCATGGCCACTGAG